GAGCATTGGGAGGCACCTCTTCCTCCACTCCGAGCTCATCTCTAGAAGACGGAAAAATGCGTAGCGTTCTCATCTGGGCAGTAATCGAGGATCAATCAGGCGCGATCGCTTTTTACGATAGGAATTGTTTTGAAAATCATCTAGTAAGGCTCGTGTTATTTGATAAGCAATCTGTTATAGAGAGAAATGCTAAAAAGAAAACGGAAGCAACTCTTTTGCGCGCTGTTAGGAGATATTGGATTCCTTCCCCCAAGGACGAATGTGAAGATGCGGTCATGGCGAACGGCACACTGGGCACAATGACGCTCCAGGCACGCGCTCAAACAGCCACCGCCTTTCACATGACCGCCTTAGTGGTCAGGACGTTTTCACAACCGCGTTACCGGCGTTACTGGGAACGCGGTATTTTTTCGGTAACGTAGAAACGTACCCGTTCCTTTTTTCACAACAGTAACGGGTAATGCACACTTACGTTACTTATTTGGAGTAACGGGTAACGTTGTTACGTTACTCGCTACTTTTTGTTCCCAAGACGAAATAATTACATTTAAATTTTTTTTTTCGTGTTTTAGGCGCCAAGCCACGTGATTTTTTTTTTTTTTTTTCCTCGCGAGTGTTTAGGGGAAACCGTAAAAATTGTAAAGTAATTAGGTTTAGTTTCTGCATGAACATGATGTTTCTCGAAATATGGCGCTTACGTATGCCTGTATGGTCAAAACAGTAAAACGTAAATTCATAATTTAAAAAGTAACGCAAAAGTAACGTGAGAAAGTTTTTATCGGTGACGGTAACGTGTTCCTTCCAGTTTGAGCTAACGATACGTCGATAACGCGTTCCTTTGATTTGCGAGTAACGAGTAACGCATTTCGTGACTTCTATTTGGTAACGCTACAACACTACTGAAATACCCTATCTGAGATTTTGCAAGATCTCAAAGACTTTGGCCAAACTTTGGGTATCTTACAAATACATTTGATCGAGAGTATCTTAATCACATTTGTCGGTATCTCGTATTCGTAATCTCAATTACCTTTTCGATATCTTTCTTAAAAGAATTTCAGCGGGAATGCTTTACGGGAATAAGAATCGGCACACCCTTGAACCGATCGCAAACTTAAAGCAGAAAGGATCGAGAACAGAACCAGAAACAAGCGCGGACCAAATATGCGGGCTTAAAATGCCAACAAAGAACAAATAGGAGGAAATGAGGTGAAAACACGTGTTCATGTTTAACTCCGGCAAAAAAAAAAAAAAAGTCGGTTTTGTCTGACAGCTTTGGAAACACAGTTTATGGCGACCGGTGATAGCCCACCTTCCATGAGGTCGGATTGTAACGAGGCAGGACACTAGCTACGAATATGATGAGTTCTCAGAGTCCTCCCAAATTTGTACGCTTTTCTGAACACGTTTCTTGAACTTAGAATGGGAAACATCACCAATATTTGTTTTTTGCCACTTTAGAGTTGCGTAGCTTTTTATATATAAAAAATGGAAATACGAAGCTTCATTCAAACTGCCCGGCAGTGCCCTGTGACGTAACAATGTACCGCAAGATGTCGGGGCGGTCAGAAGGGAGGCATCGCAGGAAGTCACGTGAGTTCTATCACTCCACGTGCTTACCGCGACAGCGTGTAATATATTTTTTATATATTTGTTATTCTCCGCATTTCCGCGAGCAATTCAAATAGACAAGGTTTCTTTTATTTGCTTTTCATCACCTAATGTTGCTGTAATGGTCGAAGAAGAGGAGTCAGTGAACCTAGTAAACAAGTTCCACCCATGTTCTAGACAAAACACGTACGTTATGCTCGACGTTTACTTGTACTTGGTACACTCACCAGTTCGTATTCTCCAGACGGCAAGCGTCTTCAGCCTGGACAGTATCCGGTGGTTCGACGACCTCGGTGTCTGAACCTTCAGCAATGCGATCGGGCGTGTCGTATGCTAGCAATCCTCATTTCTGCGAGCGTTCTATTTTTTTTTTTTCAAAACTCGATAGGTTGTTTTGTACGCAGTTTTACTGTACCATCGGACTGATGGCATGCACTCGTACACTGGCTTGTACTCGGAACGCTTTTATCATTGATCTCCATCACGTCGATCCACTGACTTAGTCCTCAACTTTTACAGCACGCAATCTAACCAACGGTACAGCCACGGCCACTCGATTAGGGGGGGATCGAGTGGCCGTGGTACAGCAATATGGAGCTAGTGGAATTGAAACTTCTGCGATCGCTCGTGGAAAAAACCATAATAATAATAAAGAAAAAAAGTCTTAGGCATGGTCGTGGAGAGCACGAAGAGTGAAACTCATGTGACTTCCGGCGAACTCACTTTCAGTGACGTAGGTCGATGCCTCCCTTTAGGGTGCCTTCATACACACGCGCGCTTTTGCTTGAGTGGTGACATCTCCGCCATTTTTCCGCCCAATCGTTTTTTTATGCATTTTGAAGCGCGCGCAATCTGGTGTCACTCAGCTCGAGCGCGTAGCTTTGGCTAATGCATAGACGCCATTTTACCGCCCAAGTCACGCACCGAGTGCGCCCGAGCGTCACGCGCTGGCACATTCAGGGCAACAATGGATGTCTTCACCCTGAGACAGACAGACACGTAGGCACCCTACCTCCCTTCTGACCGCCGCGACACCTTGCGGTACATTGTTACGTCACAGGGCACTGGCGGGAACTTTGAATTTTTTTGGCGTGTCAGAGGCCCTTTAACTCTATAGGTGCGCGTTATAAAACCACCGTAAGATATGATTTTCGGCGCTTAACTTCTTTTACTCATTTGTCCTGGAGATATTTCGTAAAACGCACCAGTGATGCTGCCGCTTGCACTGGGACAGCACAGAATAACACCGCAAGTTTGTTTTCTTCTGTTGCTCGCAAACAAAGTATTCTGGTATCACGAAGTCGATGCAACTTATGCTATGAGGAGGTATCCGGGAAAGTAATTGATTTACATTTCCAAGTATATGTGCTGTACTCGGTATATTCTGCGGGGAAAGTAATTCGGGTAGGACCCTAAATGCATTATAAAGCGGGTATTATATCAACTTACCTTAAATACCTTCGTCGGGTATCTTTCAACGCTGCCTCCGAAACAGACAAGCATTCGAGGTTATCCGACTCGATCTCTTCGGTGATTCTACTTTGTCTTAACATGAAGTGTAGTGAGTGGAGCAGATCGGCTGCAGGGAGGTTTCTGGGTTGTCCTGAAGTCACTGCATCCTAGGAAAGTAGCGCCATCGCCTTCTCTGCCTCCGGGCACTAACAGAAACTAACATGGAGGCGGCAAACATCTCGCAAGGCGAATCGCTGAGCGGGTCCCCGTTGCCATGACAATCACCATTTCGGTTCATCCAAATCTTCGAAGTAGACATCTAGCCAGGGGCGGAAGCATGCCCCCCCCCCCCCCCCCCGATATCTTCCATTTTGCTGGGACCTCCTCTCCCCCCTCCCCCTCATACAGCATCTCGTCATGAGCGCCCGCCGCCCCCCCCCCCCCCCCCCCCCCCCCTTCCCGAAACAAAAACCTGACTGCGCGCTTGCTTCGAAGCTTCGAAAGGGTCGTTCTAAACCTGTTGCATTAAAATCCCCATGGAGCATCATCGTACTGAAGGCGTTCCTCGCCAATACAAGCGTCCTTGTCACTGTGTATGCCATCAACTTACCAATCATGCCTATCTTCACGGACCTCTTACAATTATATATTGTTCTTCTTTCGTGTTTTCAAAGAGTAAACTTATCTTTCGGTGCCTCCACGCACCAACACAGCATCTGGTGGTGGTAAGAAGATGTACGCTTGCTTCGCCATTGAGGGGACAGCAAAATCTCGGCATACAGGATGATGATGATGACAACATTTAATTTGCCCATAGATGGGGTCAGGGAAGATAAAGCTATCCGTCACCAGCGAATTTCGATCGTCTCACCAAGAATGCAGAGGTCGAGGAGAAATGGCGACCATACTTGGCGCTACTTTCCCAGGGTCCAGCGACTTTGCAACCGCACAGGATAGAGGCAACGAACGCGTGCTGGGTGGGGGCCCACACATCCTAAATCTACGATAACTACACGTGCGCTGCAACCCTCTGAACAAGCGAGCCAGACATAATAGAGCACCAACAAAGCTGCCCGCTCGAGCCTTCGCGGTCGCTTGTCAACGTTGTTCAGGTTAAAGTCACTGGATAAGTTCAGGTCACAGAGCCCGGCTGCCTCCACCCAGCGTCGTCCCGCTTCCCTCCACACTGTATGGCTGAGGGGCCGAGCGAGGCATCGGTCGCAGCCTCGATAGACAGAAAATAAACGGCCAATATATAAAAAAAACACTAAATAGAGAAAAGCATTTTAATGTAAAAATAAAAAGTAAAGTACACTTAAAAATATATATATATTAAGATGTAATAATCGAAAACCTACATGCGAATAACATGACTCACGAGTAATACAGTTGAATATGTTCTATAGATGAGTATTTAGCTAATTATGGCATATAATAATTGTAGCCCAGGAACCTCCCCGGGCTTAAATCGTGGGAAAGTTGCCATATTTTCAAATGGCAGAAGACTACTGAAAAAGTTGTCAGGCGAGAAAACGCAAATTCATTTCGACGTAATTACACGGACACCAAACAGAGGACCAAAAACTGAGATGTCGGTGATGACAATGCGCAGTCAAATCAGGACGGACACGAAGCGTTTGGTGAGCTTAGCAGCGCCGTTTCTTTGTACGCTGTTCTTTTCGCGCCGATGGCAATGGAACGTGCTGGAAACGGGCCGCGGGCCGGGCGTCCCTGCGAGGAAGGACCGCGGCCAGCCGCGGCCGACGGGAAGGCCTCCGTTGGACGCGTCTGGCCCGCGGGCCGGGGTTTGGAGACCCCCGGCCTAATGCAAAATTTCTTAATGTTAAACTAAATACAAAAAAAAAAAAAAGACAGTGTGGACAGTTTTCAGTGCAAGACAGTGTACCAGCGTCGGTTCAGCAACGTCTGTCACTCACCGCAAGAGCGTCGAGACAAGCCCCGGCCGCAGCACGTGGTCTAGACGTCTCCTGGCTAGCATCCAAATCCAGCGCCACGGCGTCGCCTCACGAAGCCCGTCACCGCGGTAACCCCGCCGCCGCAGGCCACGCACGGATTCACGTATCCACAAGGCGTCGTCGACTCGAACGCACGGCGACTCGGAGGAACGGAGCACGTCTTGCTCGCACAGCACAAGGCACGGAAGGTCTACGCACGACGTCGCCCAGGACAGCCCAAACCGCTCGTAAGATGATAGCGTCCAAGACAGGGCGACCCGCGGAAGCCACACTATTGCTCACTGTGGTATTTCGGCCTCCTCGCCGTCCTCGCTGGCGGCGAACGAACCGGCCGGCCGCGGCTGCCGCTGCGCTATCTTGGCGCGCTCGGCGCAAAGGGCGGAGGGGGTCATTTGGGCTGCCCATGCAGTGGGGCTGGCCAAAGGGGGCCACAACGCCACAGCCAAACGCAAACCGGTGGCGACATCGAGCGGAAGAATTTTCGGGCGCGCGGAGCTGCCGCCGCGAGCGACTCCCCCTGCGGCGAGCGCTGTTTGGCTGATTGCCGTTCTGGTATTTCCCGCACGGTCCTTGGCATGCACGGCCTCTCGGGGAGGGTGGGCCGGTCCCTCTCCGAGCAGCTTCCCCTGGTGGGCCGCTCCCGCTGCTGCCCGCACTCACGAACCCCCCCTGCGCTGTTCCCTCCGGAGATCACCTGCGACGCGAGCATGTTTTTCGTACGTATGCTCGGCCTGCAGGCGCTTATTGTATGTGATACGAGTCTGCTGTATCTTTGGTAAACACCTCCAGGAACGTCAGCATACCCCTTTGCAAACCTTTCCTTCACGACGTTGCCTGAACGCAGCCCAAGAGGTATCTTACACGCTGGATATCCAAACTACCGCCGTCCTTTAAACACGTGCCGCGGGCGCTCCTGACGAATGCCGCCGAGGCGTCGCCATTTTTTGGCTCATGGAGCATCCCATATTGGTCTGCTGTGGCGTCTGGCGACGCGCCGCCATTAGCGTGCAAGCTCCTTATTGGTCCAGTGGTCAGGGCGCGTGTTGGTCTAAGGGCAAAAAGGTTGTCCCACAACCCGAAACGCTTCGAGATAACCTCGCGAAATTTGGAAAATGCGTAGCTCCAAAGGCCCAACGCAAATTTAATTCGAATGCCTTTAAAGTATGGGACTAAGAAATCTTTCTAATATTTTACGTGAGCTCCACTGTCTTTCTTATACCTAAGCTTTGTTTTCCCCGCAATATGGAAAATTTCCCATGACACGGCAGCACAGACCCCTGCTTCCTGTTTCCCCACTCACGTCCAAACGCTCAGGAGCAGAGCCCTGCGCGGACGACACTTCGATCATCAAATTCGCATACGCAGGTTTAGCATCCGCATCTGAACTGCAGTCGGCAAAATTCGGAACCGCATGCGACCCTCATAAGCGCATTCATTTTGCATCATAATATCGAGCATAAAAAAAATAAATAAAAAGCACTAGGATTGTATTTTATAAGCCGTCTGCTTACCTCTGTACGAAGGACACTTCGTGACAGACAGGCACGCAGCCAGGATTTTGTTTCGGGGGGCCGCTTATGACAAAATGCTGTATGAGGGAGAGGGGGGAGAGGAGGTCCCGGCAAAAAAGAAAATTTCGGGGGGGCGGGGGCCATGGGCTCCGCCCCCCCCCCCCCCCCCCCCTCCCTTGGCTACGTGCCTGGTGACAGAAGTGGGTGAAAGTCATTTGATAGTCTTCTGTTATTTATGTTCCAAGCGATCATCCTTCCAGAGACACTTCGCATCGCTGGAAAGATGATCCCAGTTAACTCAAGTTTTGTTTATTCCTCTTTACACAAGAAGAAAGAGAGGAGGGAAAAAAGCTGTAGAAAACTGCCTTGACAGTGCCCTCTCCTTTTTTCAGGAGAGGGCACTACATTTCCTATGGGCTGAAATTGCTCTAGAAACATTTCACGATAAGGAAAGAGGGACATTTAAGACAAACAGACAAGACAGGCTTTCGGCAAACATTTCATGTTTCTACTTTTTTAGGTCGTATTGGGAGTCCGTGACACTCTGTCCGGATGCTCTCAAAAGAAAGGAAATTTTAATATTTATTTTTCTCGGCTTCGTAAAACCCACTCCAACCAGACGCACATTTTCTAAGCAAGAAAATCCACAAAAGACAGACTAATAACACTGCATCATTTTATTTAGGTCAAACAATAAACAAGTTGGAAAGGCGGTCACTCACCGCAGCAAAGTACTCGTGTATACGTGGTAAGGCGCGAGTACATCCATTGGGAAAATATCACAATATTCAACATTGACAACATCTCCTATCGGCTTCAAATTTAAGGTACAGAAAGTTCAGTTCAGTAAAGTTGAGTTCGGAAAGTCGACGTGAATGGCGGGCAGTCGCGTGTTCGTGCTGCTCCGTGTTTCGTGCATTCTCGTCATGTTTAAAGGGGCGGTGCAACGATTTTATGATTAAAAGAATTTGCATCTCGTCATTTTTACGTTGTTTATCGTGTCCCAGAAGATAGAGAAAACACTCCCTTCATTAAAAATGTCGCGATTCCGCTGCATAATCGCAAAGCAAAAGTCGAGCTTTTTCCCCCACCTGCAGCCCCAAGTGGCAGCCGAAGGAACTACGGCGGAAAGATTACGTGACCTCGCTCGGCTCTAAGCTGCAGCATAGCGCCCGCTAATGTACGCAGAGAGAGGGAGGGGAAGCGTCCTCCGAGATAGCACACGGGAAGCTACACGGCACTCCGAATGACGTCACTGGGAGTGCGACCAGGTGTGACCCTGAAGCAGACATGTACAAATTACTCAAAAAAGGTAGTTAAGTTAAGTTACTGAGTATCGACGCACAAAGTAATTGGAATAGAGTAGAAATTACGCATTTGTAATAGTAATTGAGTAAAATACTAACTACTGTAAAAAAGTAGCGAGTTACTTTGAAGTTACATTCGAAGTTACTTTTTTTATATTTTGTGGTAGCGAAATAAACATCAATTTTGATCCGTGAAAAACCCAGCGAGCCTCAAATAAATGCAGTCATTTAAATGCTTGCGTTTTCACCAAAATAGATTATTCGCCCGCAGAAGCAATTGACTTTCAAAGTTCTTGATACGGGAGTTTTCCCATTTTCCTCCTAAAGACGTCCCCAGCCAAGCTAAAATGCGTTCCATCGACGCGCTGGATGGAACGGCAGCGTTGAATTTGAGAAAGAGGCTGTGCAGGGTCAGGTAAGCGAGTGTCGATCTTAGGTGTCCGGGACGAAACATGTGAGGTTTGCCTAGGCTAGAGGGTCTTTTATAAGAAAATCTCGTGCTTTTTCTTTTTTCTTCGGCAAGTTGAGATTGTTATGAATGGCCCTTCTTTATCCCACGACGTTCGGAGAGTACGCTGAGCGAGTGCATCTGACCGTTAAAGGTTCAAATCTCGGGCCACGACGATGAGATCATTCGGACGACTGTGCAGTGCTACGCTACTGAAAAAAGAAAAAAATTGCTATGGTTTGACAGAAGATGAAACGAAGCATATTACGGCGCTGATGTCGGGTCCAACAAAAGGATCTCCCAAGGATGACTCGCAATCCTCGCCGGCGACTACGGTATCTTGACGCGCCTGACACACCTGACAAGTAAATCGTTTTTAACAAAGAGGAGGTCTCCTTAGCGTGAAAAGTCGGAAGGACGCGTAGTCGAACTACGTGAACAAGCATCGTCGCTCGTACAGTTGCACAACTGGAAGCCGGAAGGTGCTCCCATGAACGGATTATCCGTGTCTGCGTTTGTGCGCGGGGGAGTCGGGCTTCGCAAGGGAGCACGTGCTGACGACAAGGCGACCATGGGAGCAGGAGCCCAGCTGCGAGGTCATTCCAGTGGCGCTCTCCGTGGAACCCCCAAACTGTTTGAGGCAGAGGTCACTAAAGGCAGACAACATGAAAACAACAATAACCCTGGGAGTGTCCCCGTCTTTCACGGTTGCAGCTGGAGGCAGGCGCCTGCGTGCATTACCGGATTAGGTCAATACCCGACCAAGGCTTGTTAAGCATCTTTGCCTGCGTTCGTGCGCGCCGGTGTTATGTTTTGGTTGCTCGTCCCCACCTTGGCCCAAGGACGCCTTTGATGCAGTTTCTGGAATGGGAGGGGGCCCCTTGTTCCGGAATGCCACTTCATCTGCTGGCGTCTTATTTATTCCTGCGCTCAAACTTTTGTGATGAGCAAAATTAGCGGTAGATTTCGGAAGTACTTAGTAGTTTGAGTAGAAGTTACCTGAAAAATGTAGTTAAATTAAACTACTAATTACCCAAATAAAGTTGTAATTGAAAGTTACTATACTCCGTTTCAAACATCGCGTGCAACGCTGGGAAAGCTACTGAAGTAGTGCGCATGAAAAAACACACAAAATTGTGTTACTCCGCGAGATTTCGTGGACGAGCGGTACAAGGCGCTGCTCTGGCGATGCCGGCGATGCCGACATCTCGGTGGCGGTGGTTCGAATCTCGGTGGCAGTGGTTAGAACGCAAATTTTTTTTTTTTTTTTTTTTTTCACGACCGATTTTTTTGTGCAAGATTGTGCGTATTGCGGAAGTGCATATTTCAATTCCCCTTTTCTTGATTTTTATTTATAAGAAGGTAGACTAGGGGCTGGTGTTCCGCTCGAACTTGCGCCGGCCTCGTCAAAACGGAAGAACGGTCGAGATCCAGGGCGTCTCTATTTAAAGCCGTTTATTTACATGGTAGCGTGAAAATCAGAGAGTACCTTGAGAGTGTGGTGGACGGTCCTTTATATAACGAATATTGTGATTAGGGGACCGCACTGCCATTGTTCAGACGGCTTGGCATTCCCTCACGTGATGTGACTTCATGGAAGTTTCCTTCAGTCAGAATACTCGCCGGTGTATGAAAGAAGTCATCCAGACGGCAGTATCTCGGTGCTCTGGTGCCGGCGCCCCCATGAACCGGGAGTGATTCACAATAGACGCGTACACAACACACGGCACTCGAGATCAGGATCGAGTGTTGTTTCCTTTTCGAGGAAAGCAGGAGCCTCGGAATACAGGCACGGGCATGTGCGTCGTTTACTTAGCCGACCAAGGTTAAGGTGCCTCAGGCAGACGGAGCCGACCATGGTTACGGTCCCGCAGGCAGAAGAACCCAGACGCTTCGGAATGCAATCACGGGCACCGCCTGCGTTAAGGTCCCGCAAGCAGACGGAGCCGTAGGCACGATTCATCACCGACACAGTTCCTTCTTGAGGCTTGTTTCACTTTGAAGCCATAAGGCCGATTTCAACACCAGAAATAACAGGTGGCAGTTCACAACACTGTCCGCGTGCTCGGAACTTTCACGTTGCGAGGTCTTCGCT